CTTTAATAAACTCCAGAGGGTGGTATGATTACTTTCATATGAATATGAGCAATATACTCTTCTCGAAACGTCATCCAGTAAATAATACTATTTCACTGTATACTTTACCAAGAAGACAATGTAATGTGGAATTATTATTATTATATTATTATTAATCCCTTGGGTTCCTAATGGAACATACGGCTTCACTAGCACGTCTCCAGTGACCTCTGTTCTCTGAGATCTTTTGAACCTGACTCCACGACAGCCCAGAAGCCCTCATTTCCTCCTCACACAATCTCCTCCATGTCACCCTCACATCGGACGCCCAACTCGTCGCTTCCTATCAGGGTTCCACTTAAGCAACTAACCTGACGCGTCATGTCGTCAGTCGGCCTTCCCAGTGTATGCCCAGTCCAATCCATCTACACCTCCTTCCAGTGCATATTTGTTCAGCGATAGGTTCTTGCCTCGTTGGTTCGTCACCAGCTAGAGTTCCTTGTTGCTTATTCTTTCTGGCCTTCCGATCTGATCTTCAGTAACAAGCCAGCCTAGGCGGCATTTGTTGGGGAATATCTGTAGTTTATTGGAAACGCATTTCGTAACGCGCCAGGTCTCTGAACCATACAGGAGCAGTGACTTGACGTTGATGTTGAAAATCTGGATGTTGTTCACGCTTTATGGTGAGTGCAGGAGATCTCCACACTGGTTCCAGGTTAGTGCATGAAAGCCTGTCTTGCTGTCTTTCCGATCCTGGCTGGCTTTGACATCCTCGTCTGTGCCACCAACACCTGTAGTTGAAACAGTGCTGCCTAGATAGGTGAAGGAGGTTACTTCCTTTAAGTTTCTCCCGTTGATGGTGATTGGAGTTTGTTGTTGTTGTTGTTGATGGTGGTGGTGCGGTATCTTCATCACTTCTGTCTTCTCTATATTCACTTGACGTCCCGTCTTCGCTGCCTCTTCTGACAACTTGTTAGTTTTCGCCTGTAGATCTTCAAGTTTGTGTGACATTAGATATAAGTGATCGGCGAAATCCGAATCTTCTAGGTTCTTTTCCGTGGTCCAGCCAGCGTATCCCCTCTTCTCGCTCCCCAAATATGGAATTATACTCTACCAAAGTGCTCATCCTTTAATCCTACATAAGTATACAGTTATCTGATGGCATATAAAAAGTTGATTTTTTAAGTCTGATTTAATCTCAATACATTTAGAACATTGAATACATTGAATACTAGGTTATTTCAGGGAAAAGTCTGAGTTTTAATCGCCTACCCACTTCCTTCCTTCAGATAGACATTTCTTAGTGTTGATGACATAGACAGAGATAAGTGGTGGGTGTTAGTTGGTCGGAAGCAATTGGCAGGAAACCCTACACATAGGTTTCAAACTTGTTGACACTCGTCGACAAAGCGTATCCCCAAGCTTTATGGAACTGATGTACCACCAGGGGTTCAAACCCACTTCAATCGGTATTGCAGTTAGCAACGTTACAACTAAGCTATTCTAGCCATGACTGACTTTGTGAGACAGTATCTCCATTTTCATCTGCTCAAACTACAGTTCTGTTTAAAAATATAACCGTAGTTTCTCTTGTATTCATTCACTAAAAAAAGCTATTCCCTTTTGTGTAGAAATGGTTACTCAGGTAACGTTTTACATTACTTTTAAACGCAGTGCCTACTTTGTATATTTACTGTGTATATTTAAAGATGTATGTAAATCGCACATTGTTTTTTAGTTATCCTGTTGTTAAACAAAATACATGTACACATAAGTTGTAGAACATCATGTTTAATGTTGACTAACTAGTGAATTTGGGTCACTTAAGTTTGATTGTTTTGCGAAACAATATCTACCTCAGAAGCTTTGTGGGGTCAGGTTTTAGTCCACTATCTACTAATCTAATGAATACATGACTAAATATTTGTTTACAGCTTAACTTGAATAGAGAACTTGCATTGTAGACGGATTCAAATCAGTTTCCATGGTTACATGACACTGTGAAACGCAATTGATAATGAAGTTTCAGTTCCACTTCAGTCATCGTGAGTTAGTCCCCACTACTATAATAATGAGTGAATACCAACTTCCAGTTTATCATCACTCTAACTATCTACTCAAAGTTTCTTATTCCACTTCGAAATCTAAATAAATAAGAAACAAACAGTAATAGAGTAACTGCGAATTGGAACGATTTACGAATTAAGACTACCTTAAATAGCCAGTTTCTAATTCGCGTGGATTTCTATTCAATTAAGAGGACTTGGATGGACAGTTAGTACGATGACGATGAATCAGTAGTCACGTATCGCCCATTCACATTATAGCGAGGTAAAACTTTGAATACTCGAAATGAACTGTTTTTGGTTAGGAATAACGATATTTTTTATCGTGAACTATCTCCAACTTGAGATTTGAGAGAGGATTTGTAGTCCTGAGTGAGGATGATGATTTGTTTGGTGTTCTCCTAGATTTTAGGCTTGTTCTTGAACGTTTCTTGATCAAGATGGGTGACTTTATCAGAACTTACTTCAAATAGAATTGAGTCATTTTTAAGTTGCATGAATGTTTAAAAGATATACTTACCGACTTTGAGCGTTTTTGCCTCGTAGGTATGGGTGGTTTTTCCTTCTTTTTATATCAGAGTTTGATCGATCTGAGGGTTCTGAATCGGTGCCCTTCTGGTTAGCCAGCCGAAATTCTACTGGTTAATCTGAAAGATCAAAGCTGTAAGAAGATTTCACTTTAACTTTAACCACTAGTCTCTTTGTTCATATATCATGTGAATGACAGATGCCTGACCATCTGTTTTGCACCACATAATCGGATCACTTGGATTCTTCTGATGTCATTTTCTTAAGCTGTTTGCTACCTATAGACTAAGTGATTTCTTGATCCCAACTAAAAACCAACACGATGACTTGTGTGTTAACAAATGCCTCATGCAAGCTCACCTTCCAAGAGCATTACTCATTGAATTCATGCCCTGATCCAAACGTAGTTGTGAGGCTCCCCTATTTCTTCCCACTTTCATTAATTGAAGGAATACACAACTTGCTTTCCATAAAGAATACTTTGATTAGCATACAGAATTACAAATGTTAGCATAGCTGCATTTGCTATTTACAAGTTCGTTCAGATCCGAATTGTTGACATCTGAGCTCAGTTAGCCGCGGTGACAAATTCATTCATGAAGATGTGTAATTTGATAAATTGATCTTCATTCGTGACTTTTCGTAGGCAACTACAAGTTTTCTCATTTCAATTCGAATCTATCTAAATTTCAAACATTCGCTTGAAATACTTCTGTTTCATACTATTTTTGACCTAACCTAGCAGCTAATGTGATAAAAAGTGAATATTTACATACATACATGATAATCAGCTGAATCACTCGTTGCTCTAAACGATACTGAAACCAGATTAGCAGTTTGGTGTACCAGATCGGTCAGTAGAACTTAAGCTAGCAATCTGTAAGTCGCTGCTTCAAATTCTACAGTGACTCATGTATTTTAACTAACTTATATCATCATCCTTGTAAATGATGATCAGTCCATCAAGCGACACTATAATTAAGGTAGTCTGATTTATGAAGCCCAGTTCGCTGTTCATTTATGCGAAGTAGAAAAACTGAAAAGACAAAGTTTGAAGATGGCTGATGAGTGAGGTAGTGAGGTAATTTCATGACAGCACTCACCATAGAACATGAAGACAGTGGAAATAGGACGATAACAGATCGATGCACAAGTCAGTATAAAAGTTCATGACTTCAATTCGCTAAAATTCTCAATAGTGTAGAATGAGAAAGTGAACCATCCAGGATGATATTAAAATGAGCAAAAGGCATTCAAGAGAAGAAAAAAATAAGTGAAGGTTAACAAATGTTCAGAACTTAGATCGATCCCCAAACTAAAGAAACTTTCCTTGACAATTGAAACTGAGAATTGGAGTTTCCAATGATTTCATGTAACACATACCTTACAAGAAACAAATATCCAAGACCAAATAGTACAACTTAATCTTATCTCCTTTGATTATAAGATCACTGAAAAATAAATACCAATTTACAGTTATTTCATCCTATTTTGAGACATCACCATTCCCTTTTGACTTTTGGGGAGGGAGGTAGGACTCATGATTCTCAGGTAGACTGCAGTTTTAGTGCTAGGTGCCAATGAGATAGGAGTTATTTTTTAGGCCTTGATTTGCAACATGGTTTGACTACCAATAAATGCAATCAGAAGACGCTCATTCTTACTTCTTACTTCACTTATCTTAGGGATCCCTTCATAGTAACAGAACTTTAAACACTTATTCCACAGCCAATCATAAGTGAGTCTTATCTATTGCTCAACTACTTAGCTTGTTTTTTAATGCCTTCACTCTAATCATTTCCTTACAAACTACCCATATTTAGTAAAAATCACTACAACGCTATTTACAGTGCTACCCAAAACAGGTACACATTATAACACAAATATTTTGGAATTAGTGTGAATTTCATAACAGAAATTCTACTTATTCTTCAACAAATAAACCAAACTCTCATGTAACGCATAAAACCCAAAACATAGGATCCTTTTAAGAAACAATTCAGTAGTATTAAACCGTAATAATGACTTATGGACCAAAAAACCGTCGTCGAAAGCGCCTAACAGGAATTGTGTTACAAAAATATAAACGGTAAACCTGTGTATAAATCAGTCCATTATATCCAAAGGGCTCAGATTCCAGGGTGAGGTAAAAGGCATAAGAGGGGGACGAGTAATGAAGAAGCAGATGAAGTGGGTACAATACTTTCATGGGATGGGCATGATATCATTGTACTGGAATGCTAAAGTGATGTGTATAATTTGATTTTTTACGGAAAGTTATAATCAAACGTATGAGCACAGCGACATTTTTGAAGAACGTAACTATACTATTGACTAAAATTTAGTAGTATGAAGCTGAATGCGTAGAAAGATTATGAGGAAACATTAGAATTATAGAAAAGGATTTTCTTTTTGTTGCGTCTACAGACAAGATGAACAAAGATGCATTCATAATAGAAAGAGAAAACTTTAAAAATTATGATGTTAATGGTGATGGCAAGTTAGATCAAGATGAAATGGCACTGTGGATTACACCAGGTGAGTAACTGCTCTTTTGCTTTTTTTTGCGCTTTTTACACTAGTAGCTGATTATATAATATAATCATTTTGACTATCTGAGATAGCCGTAGTTTGGCATACTAATATTGATACTGGATGATGATTGAAGGTGAAATGAAAATTTGGACCGCGTTCCGGATTCAAACTATTGACCACTAGGTTTCCAGACCGATGCTCTACTTCCTTCATAGAGCATCCCGGTATTCGAATATAGCGGTGGTTAAGATTTTCATTTCACCTTCAATTACCACCCAGTATATATTGTATAATTTGAATGCTTTGGTGATCAGCGGCGACTGTGACTAGTTTAAGATTAACGGTAAGAAATGCCTTACACCAAATGGTTTGTAGAGCTTAGTTGATGATAATATTAGTAATTAATTGGTACAAGTAGGAAAATGTAGAATGACAAATTCTAACTTATTGCTTAAATGGTCACATGTTCATCTCATCGTCTGACAGTCATTGTCTCAGCTTCTCACTGACTCAAGGATGCACACTGATGAGGAGTTTCAAAGTGGGACAAAGAAGATGTCTAGTACACTTACCTTCATAGTGATTCTCCAGTTGAGTTGAAAACCACTATGGAAGAAAACTTGACTGGGCACAAAATGTTGTGCTTTTAACTCACTTATACTAGAAGTGTAGAACCTATGACAAACGTTTTATTTTAAGCGTCAATGTTCACACCTCCACGCCCGGAACATCGTTTTCTTTTGTTTTATTTATTTATTTACACTGTTTTACACTGTTAGCTCAGTGTAACACCATACCGCATACTTCGTAAGTAGACTTATTCCTAAGAAATGTCGAATATATCATTCGTTTCTTGGTTGTCCCCGGTGGAATCAAGAACATGCGCTTCGCCCTGTACGTACTCACTTTTTGGATATGACTGTATCCTTATGTATTACTGTTCATTCTTGTGCAACTGCTACCAGATTTTAATGAGAAATAATCTTCTAGATTTCAACACTAAGCTTATAGAAATATTTAGCCATCCTCTTGTGGTGCAGTATGCCAACGAAAGCCGATGAATTCTTTTTAACTGTTTACACGCCAGAGTGGTAAGCATATTAGATGTTTACTTGGGTTGTTTTTAACCAAATTCTTCATTGACAGATTCTGTTAAGTTTACACACCAAAAGTGATTTGTCTAGACAATCTAAATCTGACCAGTAGAATTGTCCTAGCATGAAATGGATGGAAAAGTGGAAATCAACTGATCAAATTCAGATCATCTGAGCATTTCAGTTCTCTAGTCTGAGGATATTTATTACTGAAGATGAAAGCATTTATCCAGAGAGTAGATTACTTTGTTTTCACTAATGATGTTTGAAGATCAAACAGGTTGTTCAATGCCTGTTTCCTTACGACACGAAACTTTGTTATCAGCGACAATAGTCGATAGTCAGATGATTGGACTATTTCCACTGACAACCGTATCGAAATCCGTGTTAGCTGGTTAGTTAATGAGCAATATAGTTTCTAGAGGCAACATCATAAACTTCGCACTTTATTCAGGTTTAGATTGAATGATTTTAAAATATTGCCAAATGCAATCATAATGTTATGAATAAAATTAAACATCAAGGTATGATTCCACATGGACTGATCATTAAAGACATACTAGAAGATGGGTGTTCTGAATCTCCAATGAGAAGCCATGAATTGTCACGCGATAAGACAAATACTCGTCAATGGCACTAGATGACGGTCGTACTCTATCACCAATTGACAGAATTCAGAAGATGTGAAGTATTGGGCCTCGATTCTATGGTTCATCGTAAAGTGCTCACTACGAACCTTGGAAACCCTTGGCTTGACCTCTGATAAGGTTATGGATGCTCACTTTTGAGGAGTCCTATATTAGAACAAGACTGATGTACAGTGTTCCCAGGTTTTCAATGGTCCTCCAACTAATATCAATAACTTATGTCAGCAAACCGCCTTGAAGTCAATAAATCCCTAAAAACCTCGAAACAAAATAGATATCCTGTCTAAAATATTTCATGAGTCTGTGTTACCATCAACAGGTGAAGCTTTAATGCAGTTAGTGGTTTTTAGGTAGTCGAATCTTAGTCATCTTTTGTTTTCAAACTAATCTACCACACAAATGTCAGCCTTTAAAATTGTTACACAATATCGTATTACTTATATTAAAAACAGTAGTATAACTCAACTTGAAGTAATCGAGATGAGAGAAACCACTCCCTGATTCATTAATCAATGTTCTATTTATCCATCATTATCACCATTATTATTATTATTATTATTATTATTATTATTATTATTATTATTATAAAGTACAATCTTGCTGTTTTATTCTTGCCACTTTCACTTCAAGGTTTTGAGAAGACATCTGCAGATGAAACTGAACATTTATTCAATGCCACTGATAAAGATAAAGACGGTTTACTAACTAAAGAGGAAGTTCTTGATCAACAAGATTTATGGGTCGGAAGTCAAGCTACGGATTATGGAAGACACTTAGGAGATATGCCTAAAGACGAATTATAATAACCATCTGATCAGCTGCTTTTTGTTTCAATAAATTTTATGATACATTTTTTGTAACTTGTTCAAATGTTTTATGCGTCAAATTGTGAAGTGAAAAGTTTCACTGGGGAAACTGATTAGGTCACCTCGAAATTTTGATGTCTGAGTCATATGGCCAACACTCGTTCACAGCATCAGTTTATATCATCCGAAATCCTGCAGTTCAGTACAGAATTTGTTAATCATGTTATGCAGGACGACCTCTAGTCTAACGGAGATGACATGGTGGTAAATTACACTTGTTATAAAACGAGTAAATGAAAAGGAAGTACATATATTAATCCAGTTTTTGTACTGATCCACGTGAAATAGGGGAATATGAATGACCTGGTGAACTCAAGTCTTGTCTGAGTACTGTTACGTAACACCTTACAACTTAAGTGATAAGCACAACGGTTTGGACTACACTACTCCAACACAGTGGCTCCAAGATAGACTCATAATAACTCCGAGTTGAAACCCGATGCTAATACTACTTACAAATATGACCAAGGTAATAAAATAGGGCAGTAAACCAACGCATATAATGCTATTTCGCTGTTAATTTTATCTAAAAGCATATAGTTATTGATAAGATTTCCAGGTTTATTCTGGGAAAGGGCTAATAAGAATGTAGTTTGATGAAATCTGACAGTTAAAAATTGACTTCCTAGAAAATAATCTCATTTCCTAAAGAACCAGACATTTCATAGGTTACTGTGATAACTAATTCATGTATTGATCTACTTGGTTGCGGGTAGCAGTGGAATCCAGGCCGCCTATCTGAGACTCGTCAGCCGGATGTGCTGATCCCTCAGTAAAATATGTTGTGCCCACTGAAACTCGAACCACGTGACCATCGCTTTAAAGGCTAGAACGTGACCCAATGGGCCTCAAAGGCATAATAACCTCCTCCTGTACAAATCAGCCATGTTGTAGAAACGGCAAGACGGAAACGAAGGAAGGAACATTTATTACTGACGTCTTGTACAGTAGTCATCAAATATAGTACAAATAGCATCAAGACAGTCATTTGCATAATATGCTTCATTTCCTTTTCTGCCTCTATCGTGAATTGCCCTTGATACGTCTTCACTATCTCTTGAGCTTCTCTGGGCAGAATCTTTACTCATTGCTGGTAATTCTTTATGATTTCTGCCGCCCTGTCAACATATGCTACTTATATCCATTCTGATCAGTAACGCCGATTACAATATCAATAAATATGCGGCCAATACTGCGGCACCCACACAGGAGCCTATAGACCAACAGAGGTCGTTATATATATATATATATATATATATATATATATATATATATATATATATATATATATATATATATATATATATATATATAAAGTGAATGAGTCAATTGGGCATTCTGAAATGTAAATAAAATCGCACACTCTTGTGACAGGATTTCATGCACTAATAGGTCTCTGGTGGGTGACCCATGTAGCCCTTGAGTTCTTACTACTTGACATTTATCGGATTTTATGGATTAAGTTTTGCAGTATGACCACTAATCGAAGTGGAACGACATTGCGGTGGACTGTACTTTAATGTTACAAGGTGGAAGATAATCAGCAGGAAACACTACTACTACCACCAATGCTTCTACTAACTAGGGTTAGGGTTATGTGATTTATAACTTACCCTATGTATGGACACATACATTTGTTTTGGCAAACCACAGATTATCGGTAAACACGACTGAAGTACGAATACATTTTTTTTCGGTGGATAAAGGATAGATGAGAAATATCTACCCTAGCAATTCTGCCAAAATACATGGCACTAAGCATCACAATATACGCAGACGTTTGGCAATCATACATGCCTGAAACAGGTTATCCTCATCAAGCTACTGCTCACAAGAAGCACTTAGCTGATTCGACAAATGAGGTGCACACAAACAACTTTGAAAATATGTGACATCATCTTCGAGAGTTCTTAACATCTTAAACAGGATTATGATGGGAAATTTCTCAAATATCGTTTAAATGATATTGTCTGGTATGGATTAGTGTCAATGTAGATAATAGTATGGTTTCAAAAATGATAAACCTATCTAAAATCTGGATATCTTCATTTCTTAGATAAAGCAGATTAATAAAGTATAAATAAAGTACTATTTTCCTCGATAACTACTTCGTCCTTCATATTCTTGACTCTGATTGCTCAGTGTATACTTGAACGTGACACTGATTGTCACTGAACAATTAATTCATGTAAGTGACAGTTGTAAAGTGACTAAGATATTATCACTGAATAGTTTGACCTTTTATTGACTTAATCATGAGACATTTGTCACTGGTTTGCCGGCGATAATTTCATTGGATCTAGAAAAAAGTGACAATTGGACGCTAGGCATATAACGCACAAAGCGACTCCACTACCAAAGAAGTCCAGAATAAATATAGAGTTTCATTCTAAGCGGTGCTCTAAGTAAAACATTTCTATTGAAATAACAGGAGTGAAACAAGGCTGTCTACTATCACCCATAATATTCTTGATTGTAATGGACTGGATCATGCAACAAACAGTGAGGAGCTGTGAGAAGAGGGGGATACGCTGGCTGGACCGCGGAAAAGAACCTAGAAGATTCGGATTTCGCCGATCACTTATATCTAATGTCACACAAACTTGAAGATCTAAAGGCGAAAACTAACAAGTTGACAGAAGAGGCAGGGTAGGGCAGCGAAGACGAGACTTCCTTCAAGTGAAGGCAGAGAAGACAGAGGTGATGAAGATACTCAACCAACAACAACAACAACAGCAACAACAACAAGCTCCAATCACCATCAACGGGAGAAGCCTGAAGGAAGTAGCCTCCTTCACCTATCTAGGCAGCACTGATTCAACCACAGGTGTTGGTGGCACAGACGAGGATGTCAAAGACAGCCAGGATCGGAAAGACAGCAAGACAGGCTTTCATGCACTAACCTGGAACCAGTGTGGAGATCTCCTGCACTCACCATAAAGCGTGAACAACATCCAGATTTTCAACATCAACGTCAAATCACTGCTCCTGTATGGTTCAGAGACCTGGCGCGCTACGGAAGGCGTTTCCAACAAACTACAGATATTCACCAACGACTGCCTAGGCTGGCTTGTTACTGTGATGTGTTGTAAAAGCCAGAAAGAATAAGCAACAAGGAACTCTGGCTGGTGACGAACCAACGAGGCAAGAACCTATCGCTGAACAAATATGCACTGGAAGGAGGTGTAGATGGATTGGACTGGGCATACACTGAGAAGGTGGACTGGCGACATGACGTGTCAGGCCAGTTGCTCAAGTGGAACCCTGATAGGAAGCGACGAGTTGGGCGTCCGATGTGAGGGTGACATGGAGGAGATTGTGCGAGGAGGAAATGAGAGCTTGTGGACTGTCGTGGAGCCAGGTTCAAAAGATTTCAGAGAACAGAGCGCGTTGGAGACGTGCTAGTGAAGCCGTATGTTCCATTAGGAACCCAAGAGACAAATGATAAAATTAATAATTGAAATAACAATAATAGTAATTATAACAAATTTTAAATGCGGCGCTTCGGATGGTAGAATCATCGGATAAGTTACAAAGAAGGATCAAGGACGACCAGTGATGAGCTAAACAGTCTAAAAGAATTGCACAGTCAAAATTATGAGCTCACTCTGCAAACGGACAGAATAACTGAATAGGCAAGAACAGTTGATACAGAAACCAGTAAAAGAGATAAGGATAATTGATCGAAATAAACTTCATGAATGTTAAGTGGTGGGAAGACAGAATGGAAGATCACTCAAGGAAATACAAAGAAACTAGAGTCCTGAAGATGTCAGTTAGTAGGTAGTGAGCGTAAAATTATGCCAATAGATTGATGGGGCTAGAGATTGACACTAACAAGGTAGACAGATATAATACGCTGAACATCCTTTTGACAGTGAAAAATAAATTCAATCAAAGATCCAGAGATGTCTTGATAATGAATAGTAGAAAACACTTAACAAAACCATATGGCTTCTAGTTGATTAACTATAAGCATGCAGTACAGTTGAATGTCAAGGCCTAATGGATATACTGTAGAGTAGAATCAATACCTAAGACAAAGCAACACTTGATTAGAATTTGACAGCCGATCTCATTGGGACTTACTTTCTTTAACTTTTCCTTCAGTGCTGACATGGTTGAACAATTTTCTGTGTACGCTAATACACAATAAACAGTCGATTCACGGCACTATACTTAGTTAAAACTGCTTTATACAATCAGGAGTTAGCGCTTTGAGCAGATCAGCTGAAGGACAATATCAGCAGGAATCTAATACGTAAACTAATTAAAAGACAAATATTGGAGTTATTTATTTCCTGTTCTTAAGTCCGTAGGTTAACAGACTAGTATTATTAGGCAATTGTTGTGGTTAAGGATCCCTGGATGTTAATTCATTGAAGCTGATAACTGAATAGAAGCATCCACCTCAGTCGAGTCTAGATAACTGCATAATTTGGTTTCATCACCGCTACACTGTTTCTGCACTACCCGAATGAAATTACTTTTGTCTTTTATAACCCACTAGGAGTTAGCAGATTTTCTCCCTTCAATCCATTGAGAAAGTACAGCTGGTAACATATAAGCTAAGCATACTCACAGTGGGTTCCACCAATGAACAAGTTCTGTCGAAGTAAGACAAGAAAGAAGTTTGAACATCTGTCAGAGGTTTATCTTCATTTTAAGCTAAATTTCTTGAAACTGAAGAAATTGGTGTCATTTATATTCATCTTGTAGTAGGAAGGTTGAACCGTTGGACCATAGGTGCTGCTCTCTCCTTCCGTTTGCCATGAAACCTCGAAAAAACATGTCAGCTGGGTTTTTCCCAGTCAACGAACTGCCACTCAAATGGTTCACAGTACTCTTGAATATACGCTATACTAGTAGCAAGGAACTCTAGAAACTTCTTTGAAGCATTATTGATACTGCGAAGCAAAATCAGACAATTACTCCAGTAAGTTATATTGCATATAGTTATTATCATTTCAGTTAATATCACTCTTCA